CTACTGCCGATGAACCCCTTTGTATGTGTGTGCTTGAGGAGACGACTACTCAATCAAAATTACAAAAACATGATTTTTTCCTTCACAAAAAAACAATTTCAAATTACAATTGATTTTATTTTACTTCGTCACATGTATATGTTTTTATACTCCAAAATTTGTTTCTGACAACTTTGAAAATTACCGAAATTCATTGATTGAAAGGGGTTCATTTTCAAACTCTCACACATACATTCTCAAACTGACATAAAATTACTAATACTACTTCAAATGCTGTCATGCATGCCCTATGGTGCGTGGGGCCCTTAAGTATTATTTTAAATCTGTATTTTTTTAAACAAATCTATTTGAATTTAGTGTAAAATTCATTTCAAAAACCTACCTAAACCCTGCAATTATTTCTTAATAACCCATATTACTTGGAAAATAGTTTAATTTAGATATTTTAATCATGAATTTTTGAAAAATAAATAAAATGCCTGAATTAAAAGAATATTTTACGAGGATATAATTTCAGCGTGGATTTTTAAAGGTTCTAATGTATTTTAGTACTGGATTTTTAAAAATATAATTCAAGGTCATATTTTAGACCTCGGTTTAACGGTTTAAGGCAATACCACTGTAAGAACGCAACCGTTATCTCAGAAAATCTCTGGACATTATTTAAATTGCTTGTTTTTTTAAGTTTATAATTAAACTTAAGATTTTAAAGAAAACATCTCTGACGTTATCAGGGTTAAACAACTATTGTTAGGAAGTATATTGACTTTATTGTAATATTTTCAAAGATTTTACGAGAAAATTATTTTAAACCGGAATTTTCTAAGAAATAAGCCTGAATTGTTTTTGTCCATTTTAAATGACTTTAGCCTGGATTATTTTATTTTAAACCTGGAAATTTCTTAAAATATATTTCAAGTACATAATTTATGCGTAGTTTTTTTAACAAATATTTTAAATCCTGAAGATACACCTGCATTTTTTCATGGCCTAAGCCTGAATTTGGTAATTGGTGAGTAAAAAAACTTGATTTTTGAGATTATATTTTTCACACAAAAATTAAATAAAGTATTAAGCGTGTTGCATCTTAACAATTAATTATTTTTTAACGACATATCTAAGACCAGAATCTTTTAATAACTATCTACCTTTAGCTTGATTTATTTTAAAATTATTTCTCAAGGACCTATTTTAGTCTGGGAACTAAAAACAAAAGCTTATTTCAAGAACCCATCATTAAGCTAATTCTGAAAAGAAAAAATATTTTTTTCCAATACGTATCTCAAAAAAAATTTTACCAACGAGTAAAACACCAAACCGAAGGCTTTGGTGCAGGCACATCCTCCTGTAGAGATGAAGAAGGAAACCTGGTGACAGATACAGACAGCGTGTTGAGGATCTGGAAGGAGCATTTCGAAAAGCTACTAGTATCAAATAGTGGCGATGAAGAAGATACCCCAGAACCAATAAGAGATGATGGTGTAGAGTGTATACCACCTAGCCAAGATGAGGTCATAAAAGCAATTAATCGGCTCAAGAACAACAAAGCAGCAGGAGCCGATGGGTTACCAGCCGAACTATTCAAGACTGGTGGCCAGATGCTGGTCAGGAGCATGCACCAGCTGATTAACACAATTTGGCTCAGCATCCTGTGTCCCGTGCACAAAAAAGGAGACAAGACGATATGTGCCAACTATAGAGGAATAAGTCTCCTTCCCATCGCATATAAAGTGCTATCCAGTGTGCTGTGTGAACGATTGAAGCCAATGGTCAATGACATCATCGGACCATACCAATGCGGCTTCAGACCTGGCAAATCCACCATTGATATATAGATTTTCACTCTGCGCCAAATCCTGGAAAAGACCCACGAAAAACACATCGACACATACCACCTATTTGTCGACTATAAAGCCGCATTCGACAGCCCTATCCGTTCAGAGGTGTTTAAAGCCATGTCTGCGTTCGGCATTCCTGCAAAATTAATACGGCTATGCAGGATAACTTTAAGTGGCACAAGGTCAGCCGTTAAAGTAGGAAAGGACCTATCGGAGCCCTTCAATACCGAACGAGGATTCAGACAAGGTGACAGTTTGTCGTGTGATCTTTTTAACATCCTACTGGAAAAGGTCATACGAGACGCAAAGGTGAACAGAAATGGCACTCTGTACACCAAACAACATCAGTTACTCGCATACGCCGATGACATCGATATAATAGGTCGAACATTGCGAGCGGTAACAGCCACCTTTGAACAAATTGAAAAGGAGTCTGCCAAGGTAGGTCTGGCAGTAAACGGCGAGAAGACCAAGCTGATGGTATCAACGCGCAAGACGTCCAGTAGACTCGGACCAACTGTGGAACTTGAGAACTACAGCTTCGAGGTAGTTAAAGACTTTATATACCTTGGTACGCCATAAATAAAACGAATAATATCAGTTTTGAAATTCGGAGAAGGATTGTGATGGCCAACAGATGCTACTATGGTCTAAGTAAGCAGTTTAGAAACAAGGCCACCTCTCGCCAGACCAAACTCACACTTTACAAGACGCTGATACTACCCGTGCTATTATATGGATCAGAAGCATGGGTACTTGCGCAAGCAGATGAGGCAGCGCTTGGGGTGTTTGAGAGAAAAATTCTCCGAAAGATCTACGGGCCGATCTGCGTCGACGGTGAATTTCGGCGTCGAATGAACCACGAGCTCTACAATTTATACGCGGACATCGACATAGTCAGTCGTACTGAGCTGCAGCGACTACGGTGGCTAGGCCATGTTGTGCGGATGAATGAAGATGCCCCAGCTCAAAAGGCATATAAAAATGAGCCTACTGATGGTTCCCGTAGAAGGGGAAGGCCACGAATTAGATGGAAAGACCAAGTAGAAAACAACATCTTGGAACGTGGTCTTCCAAATTGGTGGACTTGCGCACAAGACCGAAGCGCTTGGAAATCTTTTTTAAGCTCGGCTTATGGAACAACCGTTCTGTAACAAGCCAGCTAAGTAAGTAAGTTAGTACGTATCTCAAAAAAAAAAAAAAATTAAGGGCATATCTTGTCCCTCTATTTTTTGATGTTTTATTAAGATCTATATTTGGCCTAAAATTAAGAAAAAAAATCTCGAGATTTATAAAAATAGTTTCTTTAAAAATGTTTGTGGTCTATTTTAAGGCTGAATTAATCAACGGCTTGATTTTTAATTCTACATAAGTAAAGTCAAATATAGACTTTTAGCCGCTATTGAAAAAATATAAATTTTTAAGGACGTCCAGAGTTTTGTAATAAGTATATTGCGATTTTTTTTCAATTCGAAGACCCAAAAACATTTTTCCTAAAATTCCAAAAAATACCCAAATCCGGTTCATTTAAAAAAAATCAGGAAATAACAAAAAAATATTTAAATAAACGACAGGTTGTTTGTTTTAGACAAAAAAAACACAACGGATCAGATCCTGTTACCGCCAAAAAACGAAAGAAGGACAATAGTCAAAGGCCAACGGTTGATAACGTTTTTTTTTCCACTTGGCGCTTTTCCACGCTGAACAACTGGACACAAAAGTGTCAGTTGTGGAACTTGTAAAAAAAGACGGAATCCTTGGCAGAAGAAAAAAACCATACTCACAAAATTCCTATAAAGGTGTATGTGAGTGTAGATGTGTGTTTTTGACCCTATGTCAAGCCACCATGTATGACAATAATAATAACAACAACAATAAGAATAACAACAGTATACCAATTAGTATAGAACGCGTGCTACTAACACGAAAAAATGCAAAGAAGCCAAACAGAGCTTGAAATGTTTGTTAAAGTCGCTCACTCTCTTTCTCGTATTATGTTGAACTCGCTCAGGGGATCCAGTTTGATTGGGGAGAGTATGAATTGGTATGTGTGTGTATTTTTGTGATCATCAAAGAGAGCAGGGGTTTGTTTGTGTATTTGCTTCATTTTCTGATTCCCTTTTTTTGCTTCTCCTTAGGGGTGCCTTAGGATGATGATGATAATGATGATCATTATCATCAAGCAAAAGAGCGGCATATGGAGAACAACTGCCAGGATCATCACGACGGAGGCGATCGCCACCACCACCATTATTATTACCAACAACAACAACATCAGCACCACCAACAGTTAACGGAGGCTCCTACAACTCGGCTTTCTTCCCTTACGATTGCCTCGAGACACCGTTTTGATTCGTTTCACCTTCGTTTTTTTCCCTTCGATATTGTGGCACGAGTAAAGTGGTTGATTTTTTTCGACATAACAGTGGTTGAATATTCACTGGTTGCTCCTTTTTTTCTCGGTTGAGGTTCTGCTGCCAATAATAACAACAACATGGCTATGGAACACCGTTGCAAACACTACAACTACCACCACCACCATTACGAACACCATCATCACCACTACAACTATTTTTTCGGCTGCTATAACCTGGCCAGTTGTTGTCTTCTGTGTTATGTTTTTGTTGTTTTTTTGTTTCTGACTTTGGTTTAAAGGCTCTCCTTTGCCGTTGCTGTTGGCCAACAAAAATATTCACTACGATGTGCATCGCAACTTAGCCTTTTCAGAACCTAGCAAACGGTTAAAGATTCAGTCAGGTGCCAAGCACCAAACCGTACGGACGTGTGGTCGTTTGCCTTAACACAAGAAATTTTACACAGAAAAAAAGTTACTCTTCTTTTTCTTTTGGCTCTTAAGACGTTCTCTAACGGAATAATAACGGATCATCAAATGCTTGAGAGAAAATAAATCGATATTCACAAACTTGGATTAAAATTTTGAAATTTTGTTTTGCAACAACAAATATTACCCAACAATTGCAAAAATATGGAATATTGAAAAGGAAATGTTGAATTAAAAAAACAAGTGGATTTTAAAATTTTTTGTTTGTTTGAAAAAAATCTGCTCAAAAAATAAACCCCAATTTAAACAAAAAAACAAGTGTCATATATAATTTTTATTTTTTGAAAAAAGTGTTTTACAAAAAAAAAAATCCCTTCACCATGAACCATTTATCACCACCACCCTCACCCCAATCCAAGGCCGGACAATTCAATTCAGCTGCATCGTCGGCGGCTTTGGATTCCAAAAATTGGATACAAAAAGCATCGGCCTTTAATAATGTTATGGCCACGGCTGCTGCTCAAAAATTAAATACCAGAGGTAAGTGTGAAAACCAGAAAGAAAAATAAAAAATGTGGAAATGTGAATCTAATTAAGCTATGTATTAAGAGGATATATATATAAAGAAGGATAACATTTTTCATATCTTTATAGGTTAGAATATGAAATTCAACCATTTTTTTAGTTTTGTTAAAAAAATTCTGTAGCTGAATTATCATAAATCGTATTCAGCTAATTTTTTAAAGGCATTCCTGCATTTGCATTGCATTTCCTGGCTTGGAGATCTATGTTTTATAGTAAAATGCTGTTCTTTTGAATTTTGTTGAAAATTTGAGTTGCTGAATTACCCAAAAACTAATTCAGCAACATTTTTAAAGGACAAAAAATATTAAAAATAGAATTGTTGGTAAATTCCATGGCTTAAATACCCTATTCAGCTGGTATTAAAATGAATTTCTCTTATTTTTGAATTTTGTTGTAAACATTCATTGCTGAATAACCTAAAATCTTATTCAGCAACCATTTTAAAGGACCAAAGATATTAAAAATCGACTTTTTGATCAATTCCATGGCTAAAATATCCTATTCATTTAATGCTGAATTGTCAAAAATCTAATTCAGCAACATTTTTATTGGACAAAAAATATTAAAAATATAATTTTTTATACATACCATGTCATAAATATCTTATTCAGCTGGGTATTTTAGAGAATTCCTCTTCTTTTAATTTTTTTGTAAACATTTTATTGCTGAATTGCCAAAAATTTAATTCAGCAAAATTTTTAGAGGACAAAAAATATTAAATATCGCATTTTTTATGCATTTCATGGCTTAAATATCTTATTCAGCTGGGTATTATAAGGAATTGCTCTTCTTTTTACTTTATTTGCAAACATTTCTTAGCTGAATTGCATAAAATCTAATTCAGCGGAATTTTTATGAGACAAAAATTATAAAAAATTATATTTGTATTAATTTTATCACTTTAAACTTCAATTCAGCTATGCTGAATTGGCAAAAACGAATTCAGCTAAATGTTTATGCAGCAAAATATATCAAAAATAAAAGTTTAATACATACCATGGCTTAAATATATAATTCAGCTAGTTTTTATAAGAAAATTTTAATTTTTTTTTTTTAATTTTGTGGAAAATATTCCTCAGCTGAATTGTCTAAAACAGAATTCAGCAATATTTTTAAAAGTCAATAAATATAAAATAACATGTTATTATTTATATTGTTGAATTGAAACTTCACTTCAGCTACGTTTTTAATTCTGTTAAAAAAACTAGCTGAATGAACTATTCTCCAATTCAGCAACATTTTTGATTGACACAAGTTATTGACGAACAATTTTTATTTCATTTCATATTAAAATTCCAATTCAGCTAGATTTTATTTTGTAATTACATCCTTTATTATTTTCTTGGTGAAAAGTCTTTGCTGAATTGCCTTAAAATAAATTCAGCAGAATTTTCAAAAGAAAAATTTAGTGTGGATTAAATTTACAGACTTATCATATGTATATTGCTCAAAAATCAATTCAGCTAGGTTTTAAATGGAACAAAAAAAATAAGGATCACAATATTATTAAATTTCCCAGTTAAAACTTCAAATTCAGCTAGGATTTATTAAATATTTTTTTTATTTTAGAGAATTTACTTAGCTGAATTGTCCTAAAACCAATTCAGCAGAACTTTTAATAGTTTAATATGGCTTAGAAACCTAATTCAGCTAGGTTTTATTTAAAACAATATATTTTCCTTAATTTTCTAGGAAATGTTCTTAGCTAAATAGCCTTAAACTAAATTCAGCAAAGTTTTTTATGTACTAATATGATAAAAGATCCAATTTTTAATAAATTTAATTGCCTGCTAATAAATTCTGCTTGATTTCGAGAAATTGTCCCAGCTGAATTACCTTAAAATCTATTCAGCAAAGTTTTTAAAGGCAAATTAAAAATATTTTTAATACTTTTAATAAATTTTACTGATTTGTATGCTTATTCAGCTACATTTCAAATGCAGTACATTCTTCATAATATATCTAACCAGCTATATTGCCTTAAAACTAATTCAGTAAATTTTGTCTAGCTGAATTAACCTAAAACTAATACAGCAAATATTTCACATCATATATTTAAAATAATTAATATTGTCAAATTCCTCCCGAATTTGTTTCTTTATTAATTGTTATCATTAATTGACTTTTTTCTTCTCTCTCTCCCTTCCAGACATCCCACCCTTCTTGTACAACCCCTTGCTGTACTCCAGTGCCTTGTTGTGGCCACAATTCCTGCTATCATCAGCATCGGCCTTACATACCCCGCATACACCCATTACACCCAAATCTCCCTTTAATGCCAGCCTCAATAGTCGTGATTATGCCCTCACCCCCGAAAAGGAAGATCTCTCCGGCTCTTCTCAGGAGGAAAATACCAGCATTAATGAAGATATGCCATTGAACTTGTGCATAAAACGTGAATCGACCAATGAGGAGCAAGCCTCCTTAGGTGGTACACCACCACCACTAAGGGCTGTTAATTTGAAATCTTCCTCACCCAAAACACCCGAAGATGAATATGAATCGTCGTTAAAAATGCGATCACACACCAATTCCATATGGTCACCGGCCAGTATGTGTGCTCAAACGAATACCAGCAGCCTGCCGACCAACACCCACCCCCACCATGCCGATGATGATGAGCACATGGAAATGGATCCAATTGTAAGGAAATTCAAATATGAACGCCGCAACAGTTTTAGTCGTCACCAGCAACAACAACCTGTCCAGGATAGTAACCTCTTGACACCCCTCTCATCAATTTCCGGCCCTGCCACATTTCCCCGCACGAATTTCAATCACAAGGCGAATATCGAACTCGAATCGGCTCAACAACAAATCAATGCTCATCGAAATGCCTTCATGGCCGGCTTGGCTGGTAACAATTTGGAACTGCTTAAGCAGCATCTAAAAGTTCAAACACAGCGTGAATTGGAATTATTGCGTCAGCAGCGTGTTGATTTATTCGTACAACAACAACAGCAATCGAGTGATAACGACAGTATTAGCGAGGAATACAACAAGGAGCAGGAGAATAAATTATCTTTGTTGCAACATCATCAATATATGGCAGCTGCAGCAGCAGCGGCGGCCGCAGCATCACAACAACATCACCAGCAGCAGCAACATCCTGATTCGACAGCCGCGATTGGTAGTAGTCCAGCAGATGGTCTACATTCGTCATCGTGTCATCCGGATAGTGATGGTGGCCACAGTGGTGGTAATAACTCGAACAACGGTGAAAAGAGAGTGGCGAGAAATTTTCAGGTAAGTTGAAAGAGGGAGATAATTAAAGGAAGAAATTCAGCTAGCTGAATTCAATTTTAAAGCAATTCAGCAAAGTTTTTATGTCAGATAAATAATTTTTACTATATTTTCATCAATTTCGCTCAGCTGAATCACATAAAGACTTTATTCAGCAAATAATTCCAACAAGAAAACACATCGTTATTAATTCAGACATCAATTCAGCTACATTTTATTATAAATTTTCTTAGCTGAATTACATTTAACCTCAATTCAGCAAGAGTTTTATTTAGAAAATAAAATGTTTATTCCATTTACCAATCCATTTTATTGCTGAATAGTCTTTAAATGATATTCAGCAAGGTTTTTATTGGAAAATGTTCTTATTCGGAACTGTTTTCACTGAAATAAGATTAAATTTCTAATGTTTTTCATCGAATTCCTTAGCTGAATTGTTTGTAATATCAATTCAGCTGAGGGTTTTTTAGGGAAATCTTATTTTTATTACATTTTCAATGTATTTTCTTAGCTGAATTGCCTCTAAAGCTAATACAGCACAATCTTTATTAACACATTTTGCTCTACACCACTGTTTTTAGTAAAACTGCAGAGATTTTGTTAATATTGAAAGCTATTTCCTTAGCTGAATTGCGTGTAAAATCAATTCAGCAAGGGTCTTATGAGGGAAATATTCTTTTTATTCCATTTTTAATAAAATTTCTTAGCTGAATTGCTTTTAATGCTAATTCAGCAAGGTTTTTATTTCAAAATATGGCTATTCGTTCCTGCTTTAAGTTAAATAAATTAAACTTAGTTAATATAAAAGAATATTAGCTTAGCTGAATTGCATTTAAACTGAATTCAGCAAAGTTTTCATTATGGAAATTGAATTTCTATCAATTTTTCTATAATATTGTCTGGCTGAATTGCCTTTAAAGCCAATTCAGCAAGGATTTTATTACCAAATGTGGATATTCTATAAAGATTTTCATTAAAAAATACATTTTCTGTAATCGTTACAACATATTTACTTAGCTGAATTGCATTTAAACCCAATTCAGCAAAGTTTTTATTAGCAATATTACATTTTTAATCAATTCTCAATCAAACTACTTAGCTGAATTACATTTAAACCCAATTCAGCAAGGTTTTTATTACCGACATTACATTTTTAATCAATTTTCAATCAAACTACTTAGCTGAATTGTCTTTAATAGCAATTCAGCTAGGGTTTTTTTATTATTTTCCCACAATCACTAATTCAAACTATCAAAATCCCTCTCATACCTGCTCATTAATTAATTTGATTATTATTAAAATCTATAATTTTCCACCCTGACCGATCCCCCTCATTTAATCTACACAATTTATTGAGGCCATGCCAGCAATTAAATCTAATATTCATGGACGAACAAAAACAAACCCCGCACAGAAAAAATTGATATTTGCCTACTTGGCTAGTAAATAGATTTTTGATTGAAATCCTTTAATTTTCATTATAGATTTTAATTGCTTAATATCGTGTTTGGCATATTACACCAAAACATTAGTGGCCATAAATGTTCCGATATCTCTGTTGTGTTTTTTATTTACATATTTATTGTGGCCCAGACGAAGCTTCAATTCGTTTAATTGAAAAAACACAAAGTGAAGAGACCAAACGCACACACAACGCCGTTCTAATGAGAGCGGGAGAGAGACCGAATGAAATGAACCCTTTTAATGAAATGAATTGATACAAGTTCGGTCATTTGGCATTCATACCAAATGGCCAGGACAATAATGCGTATTTGGTGGTTGGGGTTTTTTGTTCGATTTGACATTGCTTGCTTGGTTTTGCTACAACTTGTGTTAATTGTTTGTATTATTTATTTACGATTTTATAACATAATTTAATTGTCCCGACCAACCCCCATAGTTTTTTTATGACAGGCTATGGGGGGAGGGGGACTCCCCAAGCAAATGGCTGGCTGGGTTCTTCATTTAAGTGTTTGTCTAGATAAAATTGTCACATTAATAATAAAATAATTTCCCCTGCCTTCACTTCCCCCACCTCTCTCATAACAAAAAATTTAAGTGAAATATTATTCAAACTAAGAGTAAATAATATTAAATTGTTGTTATTCATATTGAAATCCCCAAATCAAGCAATTATTTAATTAAATAACAACGTTTCAGCACCTTCAAACGATAAAAAATCCCTGCAGTACAAAAAATCTTAGCTGAATTACATTTAGCCCTAATTCAGCAAGGGGTTTTTCAAGAAAATATTATTTTCATATAATTGTCTGTACAATTTCTTAGCTGTATTGTCTTTAAATCGAATTCAGCAAGGTTTTTAATAGAAAATATGCTCATTTAGAAATGGTTTTATTTATTAAACGCGTAGTTTGTTACAATCGCAAGGGGTTTTCTTAGCTGAATTGCCTTTGAATCTAATTCAGCAAGTTTTAATTGCAAATATTGCTATTTTATTCAATTTTTTATAAAAATTTCTCAGCTGAATTGTCACTAAACCTAATTCAGCAAGGTTTTTATTAGAAATATTGCAATTTTATAGCATTCTCTATAAAATGTCCCAACTTAATTATATTTAAAAATTAATTCAGCAAGCTTTTTATAAAACAAATATTCATTTAAACACATTTTAAATAATTTTGTTTTACAATCGCAAGGTATTTCTTTGCTGAATTGCCTTTAAACCTAATTCAGCAAGTTTTTAATTGGAATATTGCAATTTTATTTAATTCCACATAAAATTTGCCAGCTGAGTTGCCTTAAAAACTTCATTCAGCAAAGTTTTTATTAAAGAAATATGTTTTTAAACATATTTGCAGTAAATTTTGTTACCATCGGATGATATTTTCTTGGCTGAATTATTTTTAAACGTAATACAGCAAGGTTTTTATTTAAACGATTTCTATTTTATTAAATTTTCAAGAAAATTTCGTAGCTGAATTGTCTTTAAAGATAATTCAGCATGGTTTTTATTCGAAAGATTCCAATTTTGTTTCATTTTCTGTAAAACGTTCCAGCTGAATTGTTATTTAAGCTAATTCAGGAAGGTTTTTATTAAAGACATATTTTTTAAAACGTATTTTCAGTAAATTTTGTTACCATTGCAATGTATTTTCATAGCTGAATTGTTACATTACAGTTTTATTTAATTTCCAATGAAATTTCACAGCTGAATTGCAAATTGCACAAATTCAGCTAGCTGAATTGCCATAAAATCAAGTTCAGCTAAATATTTTCAACCAAAAACAAATATAATACACATAACACTCAATTCAGCAAAATTTTTCTCAGCTGAATTGAGCTAAAAATTTAATTAGACAAAATAATATGCTAATGATTTAATTTTAAAAAGATTTTACCCTGCTGAATTACATTTAAAGACAATTCAGCAAAGTTTGAAACCCCCTTATATTATTCAGGGGGTTTCAATCAATTAATTAATTAATTTCAAGTCATTGAAAAAAATCCCTGCTCCTCAAAACAACAATAACAACAATCTCAAATATGTCCCCCTCTCAATATAAAGCCTGGTCGTGTGCTGATGATTAAACTTTAATTTTCATGATAATTATTTCAACATATCAGGAGGCATTCGCCGCTGCTCCTCCATACGTTCGTTCCATACGCTTACAGTAAATATCAGTTTACATTTTCTTCACACATATTCAGTATTCCTTTAATTGCCATTAAAAAACTGGAGAAGAGCAATAACAACAAAAAATTACGGCACATGGTGCTCTTGGCCTTTTTTGTGGCTGGCTGGCCGGTTAACTGCATGACTAGCTAGGCATGGCTGGCTTGACCGACTGCCAGCTTGTTTACATACCTTTTTTAACTAAAAGGCCAAACATGTTGAAAGAACCAAAAGTCAACTGGCGAGAGTTGCATCTCTTGCATTTAGCCTGGCCATGCAGTTCGCCAGGCAAACACACACACACACATCGAAAAGGAGGTATGCAACTTGATAGGCTTCAAAAAGGTTTCCTTGATGATGATCGGGCGTACAACTCACAACATACGTTGTATTTTTGTGCGTGCGACTTCCCAGGAATAAACAGATGGCTTAAATGCTTATCAAGCAGGATTTCAATATGATTTCTGCAGTTGTTGTTGTTCGGTGTCCTATCATAAAAATTCAAAATAAAAAACATCAGATTGTGATGATACAAAATTAAAACTAAAACGATGAAAAAAATCTGTTATATTCCAACATCTGTACATCTGTTACGTTTCGATTTTTTTATTTTTACGGCATTTCATTTTTTTTTCACTCCATTCACTTTCTTTGTAATAAACAGTTAGATGGGTGGTCCTGTTTTTACATTAACCGCTCTATGCACAGATGTTATCCCAGAGAAAAAGGATGTGGCTCCAAATTGGAAATAAAAGTTAAAGAAATTATTTTCAAAGGAATTCGTTTGGTTGAATAACAACAATAAAACTAAATAAAAATAAAAAATAATCCAAAAAATGTTTGTAATTGAAAAAAGTCATTGCTGAATTACATTTCTAAGCAATTCAGCTAGCTGAATAATATGAATTTCAAATAAAGACTTACTTAGGAATTATATTCTCAAACATTCTCAGCTGAATTCATCTTTAACCTAATTCAGCAAGGTTTTTATGTAAACAACTACATTTTCTTGAGATCCAAATTATTTTCCCTTAATTCAGCTAGCTGAATATAACCAAAATCTTATTTTTTTTTTCTAAAAATGAGAGACAAGTTAAATTTTTCAACAAAAATGTTAGCTGAATAGGGGTTTCTTTAATTCAGCACACTTTTAAAGTAGTTAACTACATTCCTCATTAGTCAAATGTCCCTAAATATCAAAATTCTCGTAGCTGAATTAGCTTCTTCTACAATTCAGAAAGGTTTTTATTAAGAAATAATTATTTTTATTGAAATTATGATGTTTAAAGCCAATTCAGCTAGCTGAATTTGTAAAAATATTGTTGCGTTTAATAAATAATATAAAGTTAGAATCTTTTTCAAAAAGTTAGCTGAATAAAGGTTTGCGACAATTCAGCAAAAGTTTAAAACTATGCCCAACATTTACAATATGACAAACTATCCTAAATACTAAAATTTTCTTAGCTGAATTGATTTCAACTTCAATTCAGCAAGGTTTTAATTTCATTATGATGATTTTTCTTGAAAGTGCAGTGATTAAAGCCTATTCAGCTAACTGAATTTAATTAAAAAATAAATTTTCTTAAAAAAATTGTAAAAATAAATTTTTGTCTTCATTTTTTATTAAATAAAAAAAAGCTGAATTGAAATTTTTCCTATTCCATAATTTTGTAATAATGGTTAAGTTATTAAAACCATCAAAAAAGTTTAGCTGAATAAGCTTCTTCCACAATTCAGCTAGGTTTTAATTTTATAATGATAATTTGCCTTCAAATTTTTATGTTTAAACCCTATTCAGCTAGCTGAATTTAGTTAAAATTTTAAATTTTTCTTTGAAAAGTTTTAAACTAATTTTTTCTATACGATTTCTTAAATAAAAATTAGCTGAATTGATAATTTTCCTTCACCATAATATTGTAATCATGTTAAAGTTTTTAAAATTATCAAAAAACTTTAGCTGAATTAGCTTCTTCTACGATTCAGCTAGGTTTTTATTTCAAAATTATGATTTTTGTTAATAATTTTCGGTTTTAGACCTATTCAGCCAGCTGAATTGTCAATTTTAGCTGCAGAATACAAACTTTTGGTGGTCAAATAATTGAAAAGGAATTGTTGAAAATGTTTTACAAATTTTCAGCTAGCTGAATATAGTTTTATGTCGTACAGTACTATATTTGAAATGATGACAAATCCATTTCCGCTATGTTTACAATTGAAATTCAGCAAACAATATTTCTCAGCTAAACTTCCGTTTCAAGTGGCGTTTAGGGACACAAAACACCTCATCCACAATGGTGTATAATTAAAAAGTAGAAGAAGAAAAATCATTCATTATTGATTCTGGAATCATGTCAAAAATATATCAGCTCATTACTTAGTTTGCTTGTCAAAGTTACATTTCTTTTTGTTCCCGTTGTTGTAGTTGTCTATTTTTTTCGAATGACAAATAGAAAATCGTCTATGGAACACTTGTGTCATCATTCCATACTGGACAAGACTGACAGAGTCATTCATGTTATTTATGTAAAACACACACGTACACATACAACAATAGCACAAAAACAAACAATAGATCTCATCTCCATGTGAGAGACACGGGAGAGCAAGACAACAATTTATTCAGCTAATAAATAAATGAAAAATGATTGAGCCAGGTTACAATTTTTTTGTAACAAACACACACATACGATTGCAAACTGTGTCAATATTTGTTGGATAATTAAATAAATTATAATGAAGTCTGATGCACCCATCCAAGATTTTAATGCCATTGGAGAAAATGTGAGGTTTATTGTTGTCTCGGAATGAGAAAAACAAAATTCCTTAAGTCAATTCAAATCAGCTGTGTTTGGAAAGCATTTATTTAATTTTTTTTCCAGACAAATCCTTAGCTTGGTCATAATTCAGTTTCAATAACAAATATTTTTTTGTTATTGAAACATTTGATTCTGATTACTCTTCTTCTAGTTAAGATTTTAAAATTTTTCCAAGAACATTTCTATTTGTTCCCGTTAAACAAAAGATTTTTGCAAATGAATTTGTTTTGCGCAAAAAATCTTGATTAACTTTGATTGTTTTTTTTCGTTATTTCGAAAACACTTGTATAAATATTGGAAATTTCTAAGCGTCAATACGTGACTGTGTGATTTCTTTTGAAATAATTTTGACATAGATTAAGTCATCAAACACAAATTTTTCCAGCTATTTATAACATTTATTTATATATTTTTATTTCATTTTTAGTGTAAACAATGCGGCAAAGCTTTTAAACGCTCCTCAACTCTGTCTACCCACTTGCTGATACACAGTGATACCCGGCCATATCCCTGTCAATATTGTGGCAAACGTTTCCATCAGAAATCGGATATGAAGAAACACACATATATTCATACTGGTAAGTTTTCAAAAAAAAAAAAAAATAAATAAATAAAATAGAAAATAATTATAAATAAAAAAATAAATAAAAATCAACAACATTATCACAAAAAAACTTTGCTAAATAGGGTTTCCATCAATTCAGCAAGGTTTCAAAGAGCATTAAAATATTTCTAGTACCCTTACACATAATTTCCATTAACAAAATCCCAGCTGAATACATAATTTCACGAATTCAGCAAAGTTTTTATGTAACCAACTAAATTTTTGAGAATTTAAAAGTATTTCCAGACAATTCAGCTAGCTTAATTTTAATATATTGTTCTTTAAAATATTTAAAAATTAAAAAAATATAAAATTTCCCCAAAAAAATCATAGCTGAATTGGGATTTCTTCAATTCAGCTAAGTTTAAAAGTGTACAAAACTATTTCTGATGACCTCACAAATAATTCCCAATGAAAAAATCTCTACTAAATAGATGATAAATACAATTCAGCAAAGTTTTTATGTAACAAATTATACTTTTAAGAAAAAAAATTATTTAGATTCCACTTAACCAGCTGACGTATTTTTAATTTTTCTATAACAAAATAAGAAAAATTTAAAATTTCTCATAATTTGGGCAAAACCATTTTTTGATTTCCAATTTATTTTTAAAACAGCTAGGAAATAAATATAAACTTTTTTTATTTCAAAATAAAGGAAAATTTAAAATGTTCACAAAAAACGATATTTCAAGAAATTTTAAAAATGTCTAATCACATTTCTTTACGCTATCATTTTTCATAATTAAAAAAATCTTAGCTGAATTTGGGTTTTTTTACAATTCAGCAAGATTTTAAATACATTGTAATGAGTTTTATTGAAATTGCTGTGTTTGTAGCCTATTCAGCAATCTGATTTCAATAAACCATTCAGTTTCATCGCTTAAACAATAAAATTATTTTCTTGTTTATTTATTTTTCTTAATAAAATCTGGCTGAATTGAAAATTTATCATTCCTAAAACATCACTACCATGCATAAGTTATTAAATCGCCCAAAAAACCTTAGCTGAATTAGCTCTATCTAAAATTCAGCAAGGTTTTTATTTCATAATATTAATTTTTATTAAAACTAATATATTTAAAGCCTATTCAGCAAGCTGATTTTAATCAAAGTAAATTTTCCCCCAAAAATTATTTTCTTGTTCCTTTATTTTTTCCCATTAAAACATAGCTGAATTGAAAATTAATTTTGGCCAAAGTATTAGAAACGTTCTAAAGTTACATAAACCTACAAAAAATCTTAGCTGAATTTGGTTCATGGTCAATTCAGCAAGATTTTTATTTCATAATAATGATTTTGATTAAAATTTTGATATTTTAAGGCTATTCAGCAAGCTGAATTTGATTAAAATTATGTTATTTGCAAAAAAATTTAAATATATATATATAAATATTTAAATTTAAAAATTTTAATTTTTATAAAATATTTTATATGTTAATTGTATTCAGCAAGCTGAATTTGAATATTTCTTATCTTAAAAATTGATTATTAATTTTCCTTGTTTTTTTCTTTTTCTCTTTTTAGGTGAAAAACCCCACAAATGCACCGTGTGCCTTAAAGCCTTCAGCCAAAGTTCCAATTTGATTACTCACATGCGCAAGCACACCGGCTACAAGCCCTTCGGTTGCGGTCTCTGCGATCAGGCCTTCCAACGTAAAGTCGATTTGAGACGTCATCGCGAGAGCCGTCACGAGGATCATTCCATGTCAACGGGGGCAAGTAGTCAAGCACCGACCATGATTAAAATGGAAGTTAGCAGCAGTTGTTAGAGATAAAGAGAGAGAGCGCGAGAGAGAAAAAGTTACACGAAGAAGTTGAAGAAGAAAAGTGCTGCCAAGTTATTTATGTTTAAAGCCAAAGTTTAGACCACCAACAAAACTATAACCAAGGGGGAAAAATACCCCCTTAAGAATTTATACAAAAAAAGAAAGAGGAAAACAAGAAACTAGTAATCCAAAACAAACACACAAATTATATATATGGAAGTCAATTTATATATATTAAAAATTATTAATTAATTATTTTAACTAAAAAAATTAAGTGTAAAATTATAACTAAATTTAAATATATTTTTATAAGTATGCAAAAACAAACAAACCAACAAACAAGCAAAACAAACAAACCAATCCCCTGACCCGCCCCTTTAGAATTTATTTAGTTTATAATTTAATCATAAATAATTTAAGGCTGTATAGAATTTTTAATTAATTTAATTTTTAGTAAAAGAAGACAAAACAAACAAACAAATTGAAAGACATTTTTATGATTTAAAATTCTTAGTTATTATTTTTAATTATTATTATTTTTTTTTTTAATATTAAACATTATATTTTATTTTAGTAAAATTATTACCCAAATATTTAGTTTTTTTTAAATATTAACAAATTTTTTTTTAATTAAAAACGCAAAATTTTTTTTAAAATTAAATATTTAATTTGTTTTTTTTTATTTTCAAAATTTTTATTTTATTTTTTAAAAAATAAAAATTTTATTTTTTTATGTAACCAAAAAAATATATTTCAGGCAAACAACTAAAGACAACAAAAGTGGCATAATTTATTTTAATTTCGAGATCCAACCCACACTTATATGTTTACACACACACACACACAGCTAAACATACCAAAGAATATTTATTTACAATTTTTCACAGTGACACCTTTCTTGATGACAACCTCCAAGTGAATCACCACCATAACCTTATGTGGGGTTTTCCATTTCAACCTCTTCTTCCTCACAACCCTTCCGTCCCTCCTCTCCCCTCTACCTCCTTACGTCCACCGCTGAAATTCAACCCATTCCTTACTCTTACTTCCTTTGGTATTGAAATTCTTCTTCTCTTGAAATTAATTGTACAATAACAAAAATAAAACACTTGAATTTCTTAATTTTTTTGTTTTTGTGTTTCCACAATTGTGCTAGTATTATTTAAGCCATTTATTATTACAATTTTTATTAATTTTTTTGTAATTGTAATTATTTATAAATATGATTTCATGATTTTATTGATTGTCTTTATTTTCAATTGTGTTTCTTTTTTTTGTATTTAATTTATGTGAATTTATTTATAATTTAAGTTATGATTATTGTGAAAAATGAAAAGAAAAGAAACCGTTGATGAAAAGAACAGACAGACAGGAAAACAAATAAATGATGCAAAAAAAAACTAAAATAATTTCTTGAGAATTTTATTTATGATTTTAAATGGGGGAAATCCGTCAGTTATATATATTTGGAATTTCATGTAAATAGGGTTCTCGAAACCCTACTACTGCTACTACAAAGAGCAATATGACGTATGATTAGGATTAAGTTGCAGTAGAAGTGTTCAGAAATTTTGGATGTGGTCATCAGTCGGCAACCAATACTAATTATTACATATCCTACAGGTACATCTTCGAGGCAACTTCAGTCCTTTAGATACGTAAGTATTGTTTTATAGTATCGGAATATGAATTGTATTTACCTCCAATTCTAAATTTGCACATATTTTCTACAGACCCCTCCTAGCACATTTGAACGGGAGAGTTCGATTGTTGAGACATATTTGAATAACTTTTCATTATATAGTGTTATACAGAAAAAAATTCTTATATATGAATAGTGTTCAGAAAGTGTTGACAATATCTGCATTTTATGAATGCAATTCATAAAACTTTTAATACTGGTTTATTGTAAGAGAGAGAAAAAACATTAGTTATTGTATTTGACATTTATATCGAAATAGTTTGGAAAATACATATGAGAATTTTATAACACTAATGCAGAGGTTGATAAGAGTGACTGAAATAAAGAAACAATTGAATGCAAAACTAATCGCAATCGATTGAGTTTAAACACATTAACCGCTCTGTGCACAGATGTTATCCCAGAGAAAAAGGATGTGGCTCCAAATTGAAAATAAGAGTTAAAGAATTTTTTTTCTAAAGAATTCGTTTGGTTGAATAGCAACAATAAAATTGAATAAAAATAAAAAAATAATCCAAAAAATGTTTGTAATTTAAAAAAAAACCTTGCTGAATTGCATTTCTAAGCAATTCAGCTAGCTGAATATGATGGATTTCGAATAAAGACTTACTTAGGAATTTCAAGTCATAAATAAATCTCAGCTGAATTCATCTTTAACCTAATTCAGCAAGGTTTTTATGTAAACAACTACATTTTCTTGAGATCCAAATTATTTTCCCTTAATTCAGCTAGCTGAATATAACCAAAATCTTATTGTTTTTTCTAAAAATGAGAGACAAGTTAAATTTTTCCACAAAAAATGTTAGCTGAATAGGGGTTTCTTTAATTCAGCACACTTTTAAAGTAGTTAACTACATTCCTCATTAGTCAAATGTCCCTAAATATCAAAATTCTCGTAGCTGAATTAGCTTCTTCTACAATTCAGCAAGGTTTTTATTAAGAAATAATTATTTTTATTGAAATTATGATGTTTAAAGCCAATTCAGCTAGCTGAATTTGTAAAAATATTGTTGCGTTTAATAAATAATATAAAGTTAGAATCTTTTTCAAAAAGTTAGCTGAATTAAGGTTTGCGACAATTCAGCAGAAGTTTAAAAATATGCCCAACATTTACAATATGACAAACTATCCTAAATACTAAAATTTTCTTAGCTAAATTGATTTCAACTTCAATTCAGCAAGGTTTTAATTTCATTATGATGATTTTTCTTGAAACTGCAGTGATTAAAGCCTATTCAGCTAGCTGAATTTAATTAAAAAATAAATTTTCTTTAAAAAATTGTAAAAATAAATTTTTGTCTTCATTTTTTCTTAAATAAAAAATAGCTGAATTGAAAATTTTCCTATTCCATAATTTTGTAATAATGGTTAAGTTATTAAAACCATCAAAAAAGTTTAGCTGAATAAGCTTCTTCCACAATTCAGCTAGGTTTTAATTTTATAATGATAATTTGCCTTCAAATTTTTATGTTTAAACCCTATTCAGCTAGCTGAATTTAGTTAAAATGTTAAATTTTTCTTTGAAAAGTTTTAAACTAATTTTTTCTATACGATTTCTTAAATAAAAATTAGCTGAATTGATAATTTTCCTTCACCATAATATTGTAATCATGTTAAAGTTTTTAAAATTATCAAAAAACTTTAGCTGAATTAGCTTCTTCTACGATTCAGCTAGGTTTTTATTTCAAAATTATGATTTTTGTTAATAATTTTCGGTTTTAGACCTATTTATTGTAAGAGAGAGAGCGAAAAACATTAGTTATTGTATTTGACATTTATATCGAAATAGTTTGGAAAATACATATGAGAATTTTATAACACCAGGTTAATAAGTGTGTCTGAAATAAAGAAACAATTGAATGCAAAACTAATCGCAATCGATTGAGTTTAAAAGTCGGCGATTGTTAACAACAACAAAAAAATAGTTAAATAAACGGCTATCAAAAAGAAAGTGAGAGAGGAAGCGTGAGCGTAAATAGTAGGAAAATAGTTCAGATAACAATGAAATGTTTACATTTTGAAAAAAATAGTGACTTTCTCATGATTATAAGAATTTTTACTCCAATATAATCAAGATACATGTACAATATGGAAAAAATGAACTACCCAGCTAGCATTTGGAAGTCGTTTTTGAAAAAATCGCCCTAGGGAGTCTTTAAAGTGTCCTGTGGCAATTAAAAACTGATTGACTCACTTGAACGACAAAAAAGGGACTCGAAAATTATGATTAAAAAATGTTTAATTTTAAATACAACAACAAAATGTGTGTAAAACAGTGTGTGTAAAATATGACAAATGTTTCCATTGCTTATCATCATATTTTGATTTTCTGAAGATTGAAAAAGGCTTAATCAAAAAAGAGCAGGCAGATGTTTAACAAATGATTAGAATTGTGTATTCTCTGATCACATTTTGCACAGATGGGTGATTAAAAACTGCTTGTTTCTTCTTTTTTGCATTTACTGGAGTAAATAGAAAAGGTTTCATTTATGCTCATTTACAAAAGTTAAGTGGAGGTGTTTACATCAATTCTTAGTGAAGTTAAACAAAAATATTAAAAGGTGAGTTAATGTGATTTGTAGAGTTGGGCAATCTAGTTCACGTAGCCGATCGATCTTTCTCGTTCCTTTTTTTAAAAGGAACTAGTTCCTTTGCTCAAAGAAATATTTTTTTATAAATAAATAAAAATATTTGAAACAAAAAGAAATTAATAAACTTTAACTATTTACACAATAATAAATTGATGAGCGTATGTTTATATATGGTTAACAATGTGACACCATTTGAAAAACGAACGAACGAAGAATATTGGAATAAAGGAACGAGATCAGAAAAAAGAACGAGACCAAAAAGGAACGAGATCAAAATAGGGACGAGATCAGTAAAAGGAACTATATTAATTAAAGAGTTGGAACTAGTTCCGATCGTTCCTTTCTCGGAATTGTTCCAACTACCCAACTGTAGTGATTTGATAACTAATCAACTAAATTAATTAAACTAACGCAACTCATTATAATCTATTTCCAGAGTATTTTTTTCCAAAAATCGGTGGCGATGTACCTGTTCAATTTCTCGGAAGGTGTTCACAGATAACTTAGCTAAGCAAGACAGCTGGAAGGGAACCTGCTCTAAACCTAGAGCATATAAAATTAATTAATAAAATAATTTTTACTTCAATGTATACAATAAATAAACATTAAAATCGTTACTTAATATATTTATCGTAAATGTGACTGATAAACGGCTAGAAATTTTAAACATAAATGGATCAAAAAGGACTTCTGAATGAATATATGTATAT